CGCAATTTTATACGCCGTCTGCGGGCATGGCGGTGTTGATGCATGAATTGTGTATTTTTGCCGTTGCTGCTTTCGTGGTAAATGTAATATTGCAGATTATGAGGCAAATTGGAATGGTCCAGAAAAACGCGTTGTTTGGAATAGCGGTGGGGGGGGTGGAACTTCAGGCAGATATGGTGAGGCCCCGATAAGTGGTTCCAGATGTTTTTGCCCGTGCTTAAGAGATTTTTAAGTTTTTTTGGAAGATGTTCGCAGCCAAGACGCATTCTTTCGTACGTAGCATTTCTGTGTAATTGGGCATGTGGTGTACCATTATGTCCATGTCCCTGATGATGCACGTCTTTTTATTTTCACCGTAGCAGTTTTGATATTGAAGTAAATGCATATTTTAGAAACATCCCTACTTTTACAATCCTGTGGAATAGGCCGTAGGTTTAGGCAGTTGTCTGGTAGCAGAGGTTCTCTAAGCAGATATTAGGTGGCTCTTGTGCATAATGGTGGCGAGTATCTTTTGGGATTGTGGTTTGCACCTACTGCGATTACCTTGTCAAATGAATAATATGTAGTAAACGAAAGATATTGTTATGAAAGCAGACTTTGTTAATCTATTTAGATTGTCATGTTATTGATTTTACTAGCCTGTGTTTAGACTAGTTAGTCTGCAACTGTTCCCCAAGGGGGCGGCAAACCTCTGGGCAGGAGGCCACCAGGAGTGCGATTTTTTAGTCAGGCTAGATTATTAGACCAGGGATTAAGCCAATTTTACTATACGTTGTTACCAGTTGTTAAGTGATCACACACTGTTTACATAGTGTCACTATTACTGTTCTCAATCTGCAAAATATAAAACGTCACGTAGAATTGTCGCCTATGGACTTTATTCTTATGTATACCCTAGCAGTTTTGATATTGGTGTAAATGCTTATTTTTGAAACATCCCGATAAGGTCGTTGAGATGTTTTCTGGGTATCTGCATGACCGGCGGTAGTAACACTCGTGGTGCTGGCCGCAACTGTTGCCTGGCCAGTCGCGCTTAATAAGTAACAGGAACGGTAAGACGGTGGGGTTGTATTTGTTACTAGTGCCACGACCATGATAGTCCGATCTTTATGTGAATGCAATGATTGTGTGTGTGTGTAATTAAAATGAACTTCGAACTTGAAGCACAGTATCTTTACACGCCCTGGGAGCAGTAATGGATTTAGGTCTTTTTAAGTTTTATGGTTGTGACGCGCCCTCATTGTATTAACCATTGCCTAATATCTGCACAGTAGGTCTGGCGTTGACGCTTGGGATTGTTTTTGTTATATAAAACTTCACGGAGGATTGTCGCCCAAGGGCTTCTTGTTGTCGTTTGTCAACAACTGTAAAATATTTGATGTGGTTTTCAACTTTATATCGCAGACAGGACGTTTTGTTTGATTTAGTTGATTGATTTTGATTTGTACACCAGCTCATTATGTACCTTTGTCATTTCTTCTTCTTCTTATTAATATTATAATAATATTATTATTACTTTGTTTGATTGTTTCCTTTTATGTGTGAGGAGAGGGCTGAGATAAGTTTTATAACTTTTTGCCCAATCCTCGAAAAATAAATGAGATTATAAAATAAAATAAGTCTGGTATGAACGCTAAGGGTTTTAGCCAGGTTTTCCTCTGCTAATTATTTAGCGATTTCAACCAGTTTTTAAAAGTCTGGTCTGAACAGGATCTCAGAGAAAGAGGATAGTATTACATATTAGGCAGGTTAGTCTTGATCTGTCGTATCAAGTTGTCAGTTTATCTATTTCACCAGGAGATACATTAAATGTATTATAATTTTTTATCATTAGGACTGTACTAGTATATACATGGAAAACACCCAGTTCCACCACCTCATACCATTGTCAATTATAGTTTCATGAACTATGCAAAGCCTTTATATTTACATGTCTTTTGTATGATGATGTTGGTCGACCTCAGCTTAAATTATATTATATGGAATGGTTCTTATTGGCACTAAGCTGCTAATTGTATGTTTAGTGTTTAGATACACAAATAAGGATCCATCTCCGTAGTATAATCATTGAGGACCTTCTCCAATCCAATACATAAAATATGTGTTGTATATACCCATGTCCCAAGTACATGACATTGTATGAAAGTCATTATCAAAGTCCTATCCTAGCACAAACGGGTAATACAGCATTTTCTCATTAGTTACAAGCCCACGTACCTAACTTACTTTTCTATGTCTAACCATTGCACCCTAAGTAATGGAATTCTCATCATTTAAAAGTATGGAATTCTCATCATTTAAAAATAATCAGAAAAGGTCCTCACTAGCATATACCGGTAAGTAAAATATAATGTCCTTATTCCCTTTTTAAGCTATACTTATATCATATTATGTAATGCAGCAGAGTTATTATAATTTCCTCGTCCATTTATATAAATCAGATCATGATTTACAGTCTCTATGTCCATTTTACTGGACGTAGTTTAACGCCAAAAATCATAGCAATTCTGTCTCTTTCAACATTTTCCCACAACATTTACATACATGTATACTAGTTCCTCTTGGTCTAAGAGTCTCATTGTCAGTCACTGGTGAAAGAGGGCAGATGCAGATTTGATATGTCTGACTCTGTCTGATCCTGAAAGTTTATCTTTGTTGGTATACGTGTATTAGCCATTATGAAACAAGTTTACTGTAATTTCCAACAGAAGAAATTTTGAAGAGATTCATCAGTCACGTATAGTACAAGTTCAGTAAGATAATTCTTTCAATCAGTGACTATTAAATCCTAAGGTACATACCTCCGAATTTTCGACGACTAGTCAGTTCGGTGAGACGTATGTGGGAGAAACAGAGAGATCACTGGGGGAAAGGTCAGGTGAACATCAGAAGTCGATTGACCGTAAGGACTACAAATCTGCACTTAGTCAACATCAGTTACAGACTGGACATAGGGTCACCACCCAACCTATACTAGACACGATCGTAATTATCGATCAGGAAGCCCGCAACGCACATCGGAAGATCAAGGAGGCCATACACATCCAACTAGTGGGAGCCAAGCTGAACCGCAACGAAGGCTGGGAGCTGCCTAAGCCCTACCTACCTCTACTCCGCAAGGAGGCAGAGGGGGGCAGAAGATCCACGCAAGTCTCGTCCTAGTCCCCCGTTATCTTGCGAGACTAGGATTATTCCGTGATCAAGACGAACTGACTAGTCGTGGAAAATTCGGAGGTATGTACCTTAGGATTTAATAGTCACTGATTGAAAGAATTGTCTTACTGAACTAGAAGAAATTTTACTTAATACCCAAAATTTCGACTGTACGACTCTAGTCTTTGTCAAGGAATGACCAATCCAGCGCTTCCATGACGTCACGCAAATAACACACGTAAGCAGTGGATCATAGGTTGCAGAATTTTAGACTCCCCCCCCCCACACACACATTATGTACAAATGTAGATTAGATGGCCTAACTCACCCCTGTAAGTCCAATTTCTTGTTTTGGAAATTTAAACTTGCTTCAGTCTGACTCTCTTAGAGACCTTCAATTGACTGCCACCATGCTGCGTGCCTGCGAAGCTGGTGTGTTACGCTAAAGGGCGGTTAATATTCTGGTTATACAGATACAGAAGCTGGTGTGTTATGCTAAAGGGCGGCGGTTACACCGGCTATACAGATACAAAAGCTGGTGTGTTACGCCAAAGGGCGGTTATACCGGCTATACAGATACAGAAGCTGGTGTGTTATGCCGAAGGGTGGTTATACCGGCTATACAGATACAGAAGCTGGTGTATTACACCGAAGGGCGGTTATACCAGCTATACAGATACAGAAGCTGGTGTGTTACACCGAAGGGTGGTTATACCGGCTATACAGATACAGAAGCTGGTGTGTTACGCCGAAGGGCGGTTATACCGGCTATACAGATACAGAAGCTGGTGTGTTACGCCGAAGGGCGGTTATACCAGTTATACAGATACAGAAGCTGGTGCATTATGCCGAAGGGTGGTTATACCGGCTATACAGATACACAAGCTGGTGTGTTACGCCGACGGGCGGTTATACCGGCTATACAGATACAGAAGCTGGTGTGTTATGCCGAAGGGCGGTTATACAAGCTATACCGATACAGAAGCTGGACGGTGTGTTATGCCAAAGGGCGGTTATACCGGCTATACAGATACAGAAGCTGGTGTGTTACGCCGAAGGGCGGTTATACTGGCTAAAGTATACAGATACAGATTTCTGAAATACAAATCTACACCAGGTCCTGCTCTTAAATATATAAGTGTCATAGGAAGGCAATACTTGTACTGCTTGTAAGAACGGCTGGGCAGACTGTTGACTGTTGTGGCAGGTGTGTTGCCAGATCCAACAGGTCACGTGTGCTGTACATGTGTGGTTCTGGATTTCTTTCTTACAACATCAGCAGCATCTATAGGGGGGTATAACAAGTTTGACACATCTGTATTTGCCAGGGTAGCTGATGTTCATAATAAATTACTGATCAAATTGCATAAGTAATGGGGATTAAAAAACAGCTTTCATATGAAGACTGTTCACAACAGGTTTGTCCTGACTTCTGGTTACTGCTTGATATATACTAGACTGAAATGACAATGTCATGTATTATGATCATAATGTTGATAAATTATTTAGAATATAAAATACACAATTCCTTTCTATCTAATCAGAAAAGTATATATCACCTCACCAATGGGAGGAGCAATGATTATTATTATTAACCTAAACGTAACCCTAACCTGACCCTAACCCTAAACGTAACCCTATAACTAATAATAATTATAATGATTGTGAACTGATTCAGAGAAAATTAAACGTAATTTGTTTAATGTGTGCCCAGGGATACCTGAAAAGCAGATCAATGGATCTGAGGTATTCCCTGGTGAAATAAATAAACTTGAAACTTGTTTGGAATTTGAATTCTCTGAGAGAACCAAGAACTAGATTTTTGACTTACCTTTTCCGGCTGAAGTTCACATGTTGCTCTCATGCTGCACAGCACAGTCTGACAAAGAAAGGGATAAATGTTTACTTATTAGTCTAGCTACCTCAAACAACACTTCACCTGGAACATGCATGGAATTCCAGCATATATTAAGGGGGTACAGTCACATCCCAGTTTATTTTTTAATTCATTCCAGGCTGCACACGTCAACCTCAAGTCTAGCAACTGTCTCTTCAAGCAAAATAAATGGACATGGGATGAAAGGATATCTCTTAAAGTTTACTCTAAATTATTGAACATTATTCTAATGCCAGAATTAATGCAGAAAATTGAGAATTTTTATAACCCGGCTGAAAAAAAGACACAAACCTTGAGTATACTTGAATTGTGACATATAAATAATTATTATCCTTGTACTAAAGACGAGTCCAGAAATTGGACACTCAGGTTTTTCCATCAACCCTATAAAAGACAATACTGTAAGAGAGAGCGTGGCACTGATTAAAAAACGCATCTGATGTGGTTTATGTGGGTTTAGAATAGGGCATTAATGTCCTACCCCCATTTCTAGAGTACAGACTCACCTCCTAAGCTGTCTGCTGTTAGCTTTTCGTCGATGTCGATGAGGGCTTGCTTCAAAACTTGTATAGTTGCTTCCTTTCCTTTTTTTGCCCTCCACCTTTCAAGCACTTCTTTGCACCTGCCACAGGAGTCATGGATGTCTGATTTCATTGCTTTTCTCTCGCCTCGCTTAAACCCAAGTTCTTCAGCCAAGTCATCCCACCTATGTGGCACGTTGGTGATGACTGTCTTGAAGTATTTCTTCCAATCAACTGGAAACGAATCAACCATATCAACTGTCATTAATAAAATATATAATTGTTAAACATTATAATCTTCCACAATCTAAAGCAAAAAAAAAATTACCCTACCCTCACCATACTCATTACACCATATAAAAACTCTCACAGCCTCTAAACACCTAACAAGAATTCTGGGACTTCATGTAGAGTTTATGTATTGTTTTTGGGGAGGGGGGATTTGTCTCTGTCATTGATTACCACTGTCACAATATAGTTATTCTTAACTCAATTTATATTATTATTACAAATATTTTGCTTGTGAAATTCTTATCTTTTGGCAATATTTCAAGTCAACATTGTCCTCATTCAGTCAATCAATCCAGGGCATCATCACTCCTACAGAGGAACCCCTCCCCTGACTTGCTCCACCCTTGTCTGAGTCCTGGGCCAAACAGGGCCCAGGTGTTGCACAAAACTGTCCCTCCACCTTGTCCTCACTAAATCATGCAAATAACCTCCATATTGACTTAACATAATTTTATGCATAGTGGGGTTAACCTTAAAACTTACACATGTCACAAGGTATAAAATTGCCACCATTTACCATTAAGAAATCACAGAAATTTCACATCAATTATGCAAATTAGGTCATTATTTGTATAATTGGTATCCGTTGATGTTCCACCTGCCATAGATTGAGCTGCCCCCAGCCCTTGTAGGTCTTCCATGGTTTACCGATGAAGAGAAGTCTTATAATTCTAGACAGCGACCTTTCATCATGTAGACTTTTCTGTTTTGTAATTTGCAATTAGCCTCCGGGCACAAATTTGCAATAAACCTTTAATTAACAGCACTAAACACACTTGTCTTGTTACTTGCACTTGTCCACATCTATCCCCATTCTCACCCTGTGTGATCACCTACCGTCACTAAAAAAAACCTGCGCAGCTGCTAAAAATCTGCTGTATTGGGGGATCAGCTGTACTAAAGGTGATGATGGGGATGAGAATTTGCCTTCTTGTCCTTAGATAGAAAAAACATGGTACAACCATGGGTGAACAGTGAAAAAAAATTATGTTTATATTTATTTTTGGGTTCTGCCATGTTTTATATACAATGTGCTTAATATGCACCTGTTCTGTCATATTTACTAGGCTGATACAGAATCCAGAATGTGTAGAACACTCATCTATTGATGGGTTTATGCAAATTGCTTGCCTCAGGGAGTGAAGTCTGTCAGCATTGGGTCCTTCCATCCGTACATTATCCTTGATAACATCTGACATCTGACATTATGATAATGAAACGTATATTTTCTTCAGATACATGTATTCCAAGATAAATGTATATGTCCGCAGGAAACATTGAAAAACGCCCTTGCGGCGACATGTTTACCCTGGGTAAATAAATAAAAATGAAAAATGAAAATGAAATTCCAAAATTATACATAATACAATGCACAGTTTATAGGATAGGCTGTTGCACATGTATTCTATCTACATGTTGCCAAATGAGTGCAATTGGCTTAGCCAAAAACAAATTAGCGTCCAACTAACCTGCTGGCGTCCCCGCAGTTTCATTGTTTCCACCTTTTGGCGTCACTTGATCAGGCGCATCGTAGTGCTGGGGTTGATGGGAACTTTCTGTAGAAGTGAAACAAGATAATTATGTAAGAAGTGATGTCTTTCCATAGCCCTTTTTGCTAGAATCAGAATGTCGACTCTCATCTATTGAAAGGTTTAATATGCAAATTGTGGTCTGGAAATGAGGTCTGTCCACATAACGCAAGATAAACAAATAATCTGGTTTAGTATGAAAAGCCTTAGACTTTATTAGGGCTTAGTCTATGCAAGGCTCATCAGAGAAACATTGTTTTTTCAACTGAGAGCTTCTGACCACATCCTGTTGGCCGTCATAAAAGCATCCTATTTACAATCCCTATTTATATTTCATGTCAAAAAATAGGCTTATACCTGAACTTGTCCAAGACAAAGTTCATGCACCTAAGCCCAACTACTGACAGTTTACTTTTCGCCACTGATGGCACTAAAATCGAATGTGTTGCGGATTTCAAATACCTAGGAGGGTACTCATGGGTAGTCATGACATGGATGTGCAGATTGCACAGGCATGGAGTGCTCTTCACTCATTACATAAGATTTGGAAAACAGAGAGAAAATAATTAGAAAACAAACTAAGATCAAAGTGTTTAAGGCATGTAGTAATGAAACAATTCTTTTGTATATGGGTCAGAATCACGGGTCATGAATATGTCACGCTCTAGAAAACTAAACGGAATCTACACAAAGATGTTGCGAGTAGTTTTCAATACACCACGGTGGAAACATACTGTCTACTACCGAACAGTTGTACGGATGGTTACCAAATGTAACTACTAGTTACATGTCGACGACTTAAAGCTTGGCCGGTCATGCATGTTGTACGTAGTGAAGAACCAGCCAGTAGGCTTCTACTTTGGAACCCTGATATGAAGAGAAAAATTGGACGTCCAAACATAACACTAAGAAACTTATAGAAACTGAAACAGGCTTGCAGGGCCTGGAACTTATTTCAGCAATGAATGACAAGCAACTCTGGAGATCAAACTTTGTATGCTCCACCTCTTCGGAGGATGAATGATGATGATTTATATTTTCAATCCATTATTTTCTAATATGGAGGAAGTCCTGTATATTATATAATTCTTTGTAACCGTTTATCTTGTGTCTCTTCTTCTTCTCCTCCTGCAATTCAATTTCCTCAATTTCATTTGAGGGGTCAATGACCTGAAATATGGCAGGAAGGTCGAGTGGGCAATTTATAATCCCCTGACTTTTTTTTTTTCATTTCTTTATAGGCCTTGAAGATTTTTTTTGCCTTTTTCAGACCAATGATTTTATATTTTGGGCACAGAGCTCCATTAACACTAAGGACTTAAAAATAAATCATTATGTATTATTAAATTTTTTAAACAAAAAATGTATATTTTGCCTTCTATGCCCTGGTATTAGGAGGAAAATTTAATGTCTTTAAAATTTGGCATAAAGGTGACTAGGACTTCATTCACAATTTTGCCATACACCACTTTATTGATTTTTTATTGTTTATTATTCTTATAAACCCCCAAAATGCCTATTTTGGGTTTTGTATCATTACATGAATGCAAAATGACTTAATAGTTGCCTGGTGGTAGCATTTGGACTGATACTGATGGGAATGTTTTGGGAAGAGTCTATTTTTGTATGGGGTTCAAAGTAAGAAAATTCCATTTCAGAGGGGTCAGGGCTGATGCTGTGAGTAGCTTTGGGATGGTTCATTTCTGCGAAAGGTTGATGGTATAGTCCATTTTAGAATGGGGAGGGATTCGGAGAGAAATACACTCGTCTGTATTTGCCCTCCAGCATGCAAATGCTGACTTTTCTAGTGTTGGAACATGTTTTCTAAATTACCGTTACAGTTACATTTAATGTCACTGTGGCATGCTTGGTTCTCCTAAAATGTCACAATAAAGCTTCATACTAATTTTGAGATCATGCAGAAATCTCATCAACCAAGTACCTGTACGTGACAAAGACATTCAATTTGATACCAACCAGATAATCTGTACTACTAGCTAGGTGACAAAGACATTGGTACGAACCAGGCAAACTACTTGGGAAGAAGTAGAGCCTCTTGCGTAAGGTGTGCGTTATTTCTGGCTGCTGCTTGTACTCGTGCTCGTGGGTCTCAGTCTTGAAGTCTGCCACTTTGGCGTTTACCTGTTTGATGGAAGAAAAGCGTCACTATCAGACTGATTCACAAATCAGTCAGTTAACAGTAGTCTCTACCAGACTAACTACACTGGCTATATACAGGAGAATATTTGCCAGGGGAGTTTGGCCGCCTTGTAGGTTTGACTGGCTCACGAAGGGAAAGAAACTACCTCCCCGCGGCCGAACTCACTTTGCCAATTTGGTGGATTCTACCATATTCATGATTGTTTCTTTAACTTCAAATAGAATGAAAGCATTGGACATACAATCATATATAGATAAAGATACAGTCCAACCATTGTGCTATACTTTGAACTTTGAACTTTGAACTTTATTGCTCGACAATCGTACATGGTACAATGTGTGGCAGTAATACAACAATACTACAAAACTAAACTATCTTATTACATTTCTTACTACAAACTACTATCTATACAGTATATGAGTCACAATATGTTCATGAATTGATGATTTGGTCTCGCTTATAAAATAAGGTGTACAGAAATTGACCTACGTAAGCAGATATGGTAGTAGGACATGACAATAATTCATAGAATGTATCATACTGTGTGCTATATGACAGCCAGAGAACACGAGCTTAGCTCACACAGGTAGCCAGAGAACAGGGGGTAGCTCACACAGATAGCCAGAGAACACGGGGTTAGCTCACACAGATAGCCAGAGAACACGAGCTTAGCTCACACAGATAGCCAGAGAACACGGGGTTAGCTCACACAGATAGCCAGAGAACACGGGGTTAGCTCACACAGATAGCCAGAGAACACGAGCTTTAGCTTACACAGATTGGCGAGAGAACACGGAGCTCACACAGATAGAGTCCAACCATTGTGCTATATACATGATAGCCATAGCCAGAGAACACGAGGTTAGCTTACACAGATAGCCAGAGAACACGGGGTTAGCACACAGATAGCCAGAGAACACGGGGTTAGCTCACACAGATAGCCAGAGAACACGGGGTTAGCTCACACAGATAGCCAGAGAACACAGAGTTGGCTCACACAGATAGCCAGAGAACACGGGGTTAGCTCACACAGATAGCCAGAGAACACGAGGTTAGCTCACACAGATAGCCAGAGAACACGGGGTTAGCTCACACAGATAGCCAGAGAACACAGGGTTAGCTCACACAGATAGCCAGAGAACACAGGGTTAGCTCACACAGATAGCCAGAGAACACGGGGTTAGCTCACACAGATAGCCAGAGAACACGGGGTTAGCTCACAGATAGCCAGAGAACACAGGGTTAGCTCACACAGATAGCCAGAGAACACGGGGTTAGCTCACACAGATAGCCAGAGAACACGGGGTTAGCTCACACAGATAGCCAGAGAACACGAGCTTAGCTCACACAGATAGCCAGAGAACACGGGGTTAGCTCACACAGATAGCCAGAGAACACAGGGTTAGCTCACACAGATAGCCAGAGAACACGGGGTTAGCTCACAGATAGCCAGAGAACACAGGGTTGGCTCACAGATAGCCAGAGAACACGAGGTTGGCTCACCATCCTGAGCATATCTTGTAGTTCCTCCGTGTCGGCATGTTCAGTGATGACGTCAGCGAGGGCCTCGACCAACCACGTGCCTGTATTGGAGTTCCTCCAGGACACGTGACCTGTCAGAACACGTGAAACATCATCACGGAATAATTGTGACTTACTGATATCGTTCTTTCTGATGCGAACCTCCCATCTTATACACTTTATGAGCATGCTATTGATCACTTTACAGTTCAACTGTGGCAACACGTCATGACGTGAGTAGTAACAACAGTACTGTTATGTCAGCTGTACAGAGCTGAAGATTCTACAGCTTAGAGTTGAAATTATAGCTTTCAACTTTAGTGGCATTGCCATGGATGAGCATTATCCAGGTCCCTGGGTTTGGTACTTACCATGTACTGTAGCGTACATGACCAGCCGGTCGCTCGCTGTTGGTAAGGTTCCCTCTCCGGCATCAGGACTCTCCACAGGGGCTGGAGGTGGGGCTGTTGGAGGAGGCTGTGACGCAGTGGCCTCAGTACCTCCATCGGATGCTTCTGTCCCGGTTTGGGAGACGCTGCTTGCTTCATCTGTGGCCGAGTCTGTTTGTTCCAGTCCCTTGTCCCTGTCTCCTGGGAATAAATTGGATGGAAAGATGATTAACATGAAAGAAAAAGTTTTATCGTCCAATGGTAAGTCTGCCCATGATTAGCTACGATTTTCCGTATACTACTAAATGCTTCTCACCTCCTCTGCAGGCCTGAATGAAGAAAAGTTTCGGCTTCCCCACGAGACTCTTGCAGGCCTGGAAACTAGAAATGATGCTGTCCACAGACACGTGCTCTCCGTCTGTGCCCAACACGCCTGTCTCTGCGCCATGGGACAGCAGGAACAGCACGAAGCAGTCGTAGCTGCTGTGATCTCTCTTGGAGACGTCCTTTGTTACAGCTGCAATTTCCTAAGGGTTCAACACGAGACGATTGTTAACTAAAGCAAAGGGAAACTGTAATCATTGTTTGTGTTTCGAATGTTATATTTAGATACATCATAACTCTACTGACTTAGTGACAGGTGAGGTACAGTGGCAGATAAACTACATGTATGTAGTGTCGCGCTTTGCAACAATTTTGAAGAAGACACAATGTTGACAGAGCGAAATACCTAGAATGTCTTTAGCAAAACTAGTGCCTATGATATTTGAACAACTCTGATTTTCAATTACTTGTATCAGGTTACTCTCCAAGCAGAGGTTTGGGTTTTGGGTTTGTGTTTCGAATGTTATATTTAGATACATCATAACTCTACTGACTTAGTGACAGGTGAGGTACAGTGGCAGATAAACTACATGTATGTAGTGTCGCGCTTTGCAACAATTTTGAAGAAGACACAATGTTGACAGAGCGAAATACCTAGAATGTCTTTAGCAAAACTAGTGCCTATGATATTTGAACAACTCTGATTTTCAATTACTTGTGTCAGGTTACTCTCCAAGCAGAGGTTTGGGTTTTGGGCTATATTTCTAGTGCATAAAAGAAACCCGATAAAAAGGACTAAAAACACGACAAAAATAGCCCAAAACCCAAACCTCTGCTTGAAGCTATCAGGTACCATATAAGAAATTGTAATATCTTATATTATTGTAAAAGAAACCCGTCCAAATAGCTAGGACGATTACTTTCCAACACATAGAAACCAACAGCTACTGTTACCGATGTGCCCCACCTGTGCTGTAAGGTTCTGTTTGATCTCCTGTTGCAGCTTGAGTTTCCCACAAATCTTCCTGAGGTTGTCCAGGTCCTTCGCTCCTCCCGGCCTGTTTCTTGTCGAGTCCGTAAAGTCGGTGTTGCTGATGATCAGCGCGACGCCACGTGGGTCGGAGGTCATCTTGTAGGAGTCCTAGTCAAACAAATTTAGCATAAATTAGCAGGGGTCATATGGCGTAAAGGCAGAGTGTTCAACTCAGATACAAGAGATCCCGGGTTTGAATCCTGCCCAATGCCACCGATCTTGCATCTTTGGAGAAGGCACTTAACACGACTTTCCTCACGTCACTCAGGTGTAAATGAGTACCTAGCTTCGGCTAGGGACGTCCCTCGGATAGGACATTAAATGGAGGTTCCGCGTTTGAGAGAGCTACATGTACACCCCATGCACTGTACAAAACTGGAACAGGTGTGTTACGCTTAAAAGGCGATTTACCGGATATGCGAAACAAGCAAACATTTGTCATAGCACCATCACCACCGGAACTGAGCATACACCTTGTTTGTTTGTTTTTGTTTGTTTCGCATTACCGGTAAACCGCCTTCAGGCGTAACACACCAGTTTTGTACATGTGCGCACATGTACAAGCTGCGTAAGACCGGACTGTAAGTTTTGAACCACTCACACCGGGAAGATCCCCTACTCTTTTCGATAAGTGCGGCGGGTTCTTTAACGTGCATGGGTTGTGGCTCTCCCAAACACGGGACCTCCATTTAACGTCCTATCCGAGGGACGTCCCTAACCGAAGCTAGGTACTCATTTACACCTGAGTGAAGTGAGGAAAGTCGTGTAAAGTGCCTTTCCCAAGGGCACAAGATCGGTGACATGGGCAGGGTTCGAACCCACAACCTCTGGGGTGTGAGCCGAACGCGCTACCGACTGCGCCACACGACCCCACCTTAAAAAGGGACTCAACAAATGGTTGCCTGCAAACTTAACTTAAATTGAACCAGAAACACATTTTAAGAATCTATATATATTATCATTAAATAAAATAATATAAATTTAAAAATGAACTACAAAGCATATTTCAACTGTTGGCTGATGTTATCATGTTGATTTGCTGTTGCTACTTACATTTTCTTGTTGAGACGGTTTCACTTGAGTCGGGGGTGATCTACGACTGACAGCTGCAAATATGGGAAGACAGAAAGTGTCAGTCACATGCGGTAAAGTCATTCTAATGTAGTATGTAACGAAACATTTACATGAATTGTAAAGTATCAACAAGGCTTAAAGTTTAATATTATCATTATTATATACTTACAACCTCCAGGTTAATTCCGGACTCATCCCATATCTCAGCAGCCTTTAACATCTAGATGGGCTAATATCGTAAAACATAGGTAAAAATGATGTAGGAAATATGTAGCAGCCATCGAGGACCCCTTTTGGATTAACCAAATTCTGCAGAATTCTGGAACTGCAGCCAGAATTCTGTGCAGAATTCTGCAGAATTTGGTTAATCCAAAAGGGGTCCTCGATGGCTGCTACATATTTCCTACATCATTTTTACCTATATTTTACGATATTAGCCCATCTAGGTGTTAAAGGCTGCTGAGATATGGGATGAGTCCGGAATTGAACTAGAGGCTGTTTTTATGAAGCAAGATAAAACTGCAACTTCCAACACAACAAATTGGACTCAAGTTTTCGACTGTACAACTCCAGTCTTTGTCAAGGAATGAGCAATCCACCGCTTCCGTGACGTCACGCAGATAACGCACTACTTTCTGCAACCTATGATCCACTGCTCACAGAGTCACGTAAGTTATCTGTGTGACGTCACGGAAGCGGTGGATTGCTCATTCCTTGACAAAGACTGAAGTACTGTTGTACATTCGAAAATTTGGTCCAATTTGTTGTGTTGGAAAATTATTGCAGTTTTATCTTGCTTCATAATGACTTCTACCAACACAGATGAACTTTCAAGATTAGAGGCTGTTTTATTAGGAAGTAACAAGATTCTCTACTGATAATGACATACCAGACAGTCTGGCTGGTCTGTACACAAGTTCTGCTGACGTTGATGCTGTCTTCTTCACCTCGGGACACCTGACGTCACGGCTGTCCTCTGCTGTCCGGTCCCTCAGGTCAAACTGCCATGGCTCCTCCTGTCCTGCCTTGATGCAGTGCGCACAGGTGACGTGGAGGGAGTACAGCACACCTGGCCACTCCTGCAGCAGCTGGACCAGCACCTCCAGCAGTGGGTGGACCACGCCCCACATCTCACCTGCCTGGGCAAGCCCGCCTCTGGTTGCCATGGTGATGTAAGTGTCGTCTTCAACAGGTTTGGAACACACGAGTACGGGGTAGTCCTGTCGGTAGGCCATGACTCCATCTTTCCAGTCTACCCTGTCCTTGACAAGTGGATGGATCCCAACACTGAACCTCTGAAACAGTCCCCGGGGACAGAATCCTGTGATGTTGCACATCAGCTGCAGCTGCTCCTGATCTTCTGGTACGTCTTCTGGCCAGACACTCTTAATCTCCTCTGGCATTTGTTTCTGCAGGTACCAAGGTATTCGGTACTGACACACGTCTGTTTTGTCTTTGGCTTTCAACTCAAAGCAGAGGCCAAAATGCTTCATCAGAGCTGTAACAATGTCATGATCGATGTTGGGTGGTAGCATGTATGTCATCACCTTCTTCTGGATCAGTCCACAGTCACGCAGATCCTGCTGAAAACCCTTGAGCTGTGTGCGATTATAATCAGCATTCTTTACTCTGGGCGTTTTGAAAAGTTCCTCGATGTTGTGATGGAACAGATCCTTGAAGATTTCAATCAAGGCAGGAGGATCATGGAAGACGTAGTCCTTGAGTTCCGGTATGTCCGTGTACCTGAGGATGGTTCCCACCTGCTGCAGGTAAGACAGGACTTGCTCCAGTCTGTCCGCCGGGAGATCTGTGAGCTCCAAACAGTCGCTTTGCGTTATCCACTTCTGGTTTCTTGTCACTTGTTTCTTGTCAGTTGTTGAGTCGTTGTTCTCAGTTGACGATTTATCGCCCTCACCTCTAGTGATTTCCAGTTCCTCTGTTCCCTTGTCAAGTAGCCCGTAAACTTTCTGTTCAAACTCCACCCATGTCCGCGGGAGGATCTTTCTAAGCGTAGGAAACAGCTTGGTATCATTGGCCGATTCCAGTATGTGATTCTTTAGCGTGTCCAACCCAGATGCTGGTTCTGCCGAACTGATGCAGTACATTCCGATCAGTCGCAATGGGTGATCCAGGAGGCGTTGTGTGCGTTCTAACTGCCGCTCTATTTCCCTTTGTTCCTCCTCGCTTTGGGGCTCTCTTGTCTTGAGTTTCTTTATTTGGCGCTCTGTATTACTTTTCCATGTTTCAATCTGATCTTTAGATTTTCTTTGGAGGTCCTTCACTTTATCATTTATTTCTGCCTCTCTACACTTGTCCATCTTACTCCCTACTATTGTAACCACCGCCCCCGGCACGCGGGCGTTCAGTGTGTCCAACCAGAACCCCACGGCTTCTGTGTACCTCTCTTCACTGCAGCTGTATGTGTGAAGGTTCACTAATAACAGGTAAAAGGCATCTGGAGTCAGGAAGAACTGATGAGTGAGATGGTACACGTCATGGCCGCCAAAGTCGTACACTTCAAATGTGATGTTGTCATCAGGTGCCCACTGAGTTATCTCTACACAGTGTGTGCGGTCCTCTACATTTGTCAGGGTGGACTCGCCCTTGTCTAGCGTCTGTACCAGGCTTGTTTTTCCCGCCATTTTCTCTCCCAAGACAACAACTTTCAAATGAGTCCTAATCTTTTCTTCTGAGCGTTCAAGTTCCTCAAAGTACTGTCTGACAGCAGCGATCCCCTGACGGCAAACCTCAACTGGTGGTTTTATAAGTGGGTTGCTAATGACGTGAAGGTGACGTAAGCTACTGAGCTGTCCGATTTCCGCGGGTAACGTCTGTAGGTCGTTAAAGCGCAGGTCCAGCTCTTTTAACTGTGTCAGTCCCCCCACTTCAGGTGGGAGTGTGCGCAGCTTAATGCACCAGGACAGATCCAAGTGTTTGACATTAGTGAGCTGCCCGATTTCCGCGGGTAACGTCTGTAGGTGGTTACGCCTCAGGTTCAGCTCTTTTAACTGTGTCAGTCCCCCCACTTCAGGTGGGAGTGTGCGCAGCTTGCACCTGGACAGATCCAAGTGTTTGACATTAGTGAGCTGTCCGATTTCCGCGGGTAACGTCTGTAGTTGGTTACTGCTCAGGTCCAGCCTTTCTAACTGTGTCAGCCTCCACACTCCAGGTGGGAGTGTGTGCAGCTTGCAGTTGGACAGATTCAAGTGTTTGACGTTAGCGAGCTGTCCGATTTCCGCGGGTAACGTCTGTAGTTCGTTATCGCTGAGGTCCAGCCATTCTAACTGTGTCAATCTCCACACTTCAGGTGGGAGTGTGCGCAGCATGCACCGGGACAGATCCAAGTGTTTGACATTAGTGAGCTGTCCGATTTCCACGGGTAACGTCTGTAGTTGGTTACGGCGCAGGTCCAGCCATTCTAACTGTGTAAGTCTCCACACTTCAGGTGGGAGTGTGCGCAGCTCGCACCCGGGCAGATCTAAGTGTTTGACATTAGTGAGCTGTCCGATTTCCACGGGTAACGTCTGTAGTTGGTTACGGCGCAGGTCCAGCCATTCTAACTGTGTCAGTCTCCACACTACCGGAGGAACTGTCTCCATGCCTGTTCCCGCTAGTTTCAGTACCCGGAGGTTGGTGAGCCCGGCCAGCCCATCCGGCAGGTGGATCCCGCTGTTCCCGCTGAGGTCCAGTTCCTCCAGCTGGGGGAGTTTCAGTACTGCCGGGGGGACGGTGTCCAGCTTACAGTAACGTAGTCTCAACACTTTCAACTTGTTCAGTTTAGACAACTCATCTGGTAGGGAGATTTTCAACATTGACTTCCCGCCCGCACTTAGATCCAGCCATTGTAGGTTTGACAGTTTCAGCACTACAGGCAGTATTGTGTCCAGGTTACAGCGTTTTAAGTCCAGGACCGTGAGGTTGGTGAGACCAGACATCTCATCCGGCAGGGTGATGTTCTTGTTGTTACTGAGGATCAGCATTTCTAACTGCGGAAGTTTCATCACGGCAGCGGGAACTGTTTTAAGGCCGCATTTATCTAAACACAACAGTTTTAGATTGGTCAGTTTGGTCAGCTGATCGGAGAGATCAATGTTCGTGTTGTTTGTCAAATCCAAAGCCTCCAATTCCTTAAGTTCAAAAACTTCCTCGGGTAGTTGAGCCAGAGGTTCTATATGGCTATAATCTTCACGAGACAAGTCCAGTGTCAAGAGAGTTCTTTTCCCCACCATGTCCCATTCTTTTGGCTTCATCTTGTTTCTAAAGCTTGACTGTTTAGCCATGTCGATATTTCTAGAATTGAATAATTGTGAGAAAATGATACATGTAAAAGCAATTTATTATTACCGTGGTTTTATGATCAGCTTTATATGTCACGTCTAAAGTTCCATTTCTAATACATCATGTGTAACTATGTAAGATTATATGTACACAAGTATATCTCCTGCATAGTTCATTCAGTGGATGGAGAGCATTTATCATTTTCTCATTAATGCAGCAGCTGAGTAGATGCCATATTTTTTTTACCTTTGCCAAGAAGGACTGGTTATGTTTTAGGTGTTATTTCTGTGTCTGTCTACATGTGTCTTTGTGGTCCAAAAGCCATGCCTGGATCATTATCATATTTGATATTTGTTATGTAGCTAGATGTCAATATAACAAAGGACAAGTTCCATTACGGGCCACCTGGCAGCTTCCTGGGTACTGCAGCAGAAATACTGGTTTCTTTGTGTTCTGGACATGCTGGTTCACAGTGTTTGAGTGGCAGATAGCATTTAGCCTCATGAAAAAGGTTACTGGTATACAGTAGGTTTGGGTCCCCTGGCTTCTTTGGAAATGCAGGAGCCAATTTTATGTTGAAAGTTCATCTGTGTTGGTAGAAGTCATTATGAAACAAGTTTGAACTGCAATTTCCAACAAGAAATTGGACCCAATTTTCAAGTGAGAAGAAGACTTTCTAATTCTAAACTTCACATTTCAGGCGCTAAAATGTGTGGGTACCCCACTTGGGATTTAGAGAAGGCTAAATAAATAGACCCAAACCTCAGAAGCTCAGTAACCAGTATCAGAGCAACAAGGGCACAAAGCCAAGGTAAGTCTCCTGGCGTATACGTATCTCCCTCCCCCTCCCCGCTCCCCATGTGTTGACAGCCCGGGTGCTGGTGCCAGACTGGTTACCAGGCTAAGGCCACACCAATTTAATTTCTTGGTTAATGGATTCGCCTGCTTCATTATTTTTCTGATTTACAAAAAAATAAAAATTCAGAATCAACAGTTACTGCAAAATGCTCATATTTTGCCCTGAACAGTTGAAAACAGTCCTTTTCATCCTAGTTGTTACAGTTATTCCATCTTTCGATGCAGTGGTATCATAAAAAAGTTCAATTCATTGTTTAGATTTTGAACCAGCCTGGTGTGTTGACTTCATGGCTCCTATCGTACCATTTTGGGCCATAATAGGATGCCTAGGCCTTTTTTTTCGCCCGCCCGCTCCATTATTTTTCTAGAAAATCCGTTAACCAAGAAATTAAATTGGTGTGGCCTAAGTGAAACTTTGCTCATGTACTACAGTTACTGTTAATCTCTAAGCAGCTCCTACAGTGCAAGATTGTGACAGCAGGAGAGTGACTATTTAAGCCCTTGCAAATGGATACTGTCTTGCCACTGAAGAAATTCTGCTTGGAGAACAGTTCATAATGTCATGATTATGCGATGGAGCTTTTAATGTGAAAAACTGAAAAAAAAAACACAGAGAAGACTTAAAGTTTTGCAATAATTATTATACACCAACATGCAGTCTAATAGTAGCCTCTAGCAGGCTTGAGGGCGCGGTTGGAAATAGTAGAAATTGGCCAAATAGAGAGATAACACGCAGAGCGAGTTTAGCCATCCAGTTTACAGTTTGCCGGCCCCATATAAAACAGTAAACTGTATGGCTAAACTCCCTCGGCGTGTTATCTCTCTATTTGGCCGATTTCTGCTATTTCCAGGCGTGCCCTCAAGCCTGGTAGAGGCTAGTCTAATATGCCATGGTATGATTTCTGAAGCTTACTGTAGCCTGGGCCCAGGATTCTCCTCCACATCCCCTGCAAGCTTCAGCAAGAGTTGTGAGATGACCATCCACACCAGCAAACACGGCGCCATCCTCAGCAGCAAACATGGCGCCATCCTTAGCAGCAAACACGAGCAGCACTGGGAGTCCAACCTCAGGTTCCTGAAGCAGCCTATCCGGGCCCTGTAGGTGCACAGGTCAACCCCCATCCTGACGGCCAGCTGAGCTGTGGAGTGGAGAGGGAATATTATATACATGTAATTATAGCATTCTCCATGCTTGAAATGAAATTGTATATTGCAGTCAAACTTGCCCAAGCGACCACTTCAGGCTACAAACCAATTGTCTAGCAATAACGAATGCTTTTTTTCTCGAGCGGTCCCGTTGTTTTTTCCCCATAAACCTTGAAATCTGTGCTTTGTGGAACTTGTTTAAGAAGGCCAGAATTTCCTTGGTCTTAAACAAGTTTGACTGTACCTAATTTGCATTTATGATTGTGATACCAAAATATAGAATTCATACTTATCCTCAGAATTATTTAGTTTGCCTAACGGTGGAATGAACAGTGTTTAGAAAAGTCAGATCAAGCTGGGACGGGCTTCGCATAGGCCACAGCAGGAAAATTTTATTAGTACATCCTAAGGAGACCTGTAGAGGCTACTGTATGAAAGGTTACTTCTACACACATGTAACCTTAGCGTCCTGAGGGTCCTGGTAGAGACTACTGTATGGTGGGTTACTTCTACACACATGTAACCCTAGCATCCTGAGAGGCCTGGTAGAGGCTACTGTATGGTGGGTTACTTCTACACACATGTAACCTTAGCATCCTGAGGGGCCTGGTAGAGGCTATTGTATGGTGGGTTACTTCTACACACAAGTTAGCATCCTGAGGGGCCTGGTAGAGGCTATAGTATGGTGGGTTACTTCTACACACAAGTTAGCATCCTGAGGGGCCTGGTAGACGCTATTGTATGGTGGGTTACTTCTACACACATGTAACCTTAACATCCTGAGGGGCCTGGTAGAGGCTATTGTATGGTGGGTTACTTCTACACACATGTAGTATCCTGAGGGGCCTGGTAGAGGCTACTGGATGGTGGGTTACTTCTACACACATGTAACCCTAGCATCCTGAGTGGCCTGGTAGAGGCTACTGTATGGTGGGTTACTTCTACAGTTTTGGCCTTTTGTCTTAAAGT